AGAGGGGGGGGCGAGACGGGGTTGTGGGGGACTGCATGAGTTTTCGATGCTCCAGCAGCAACGCCACCACCACACTGGACTCCAGCTGCTCCGGTGGCGGAGGCCAGTTGTTGTGGTGGCCCCGTCCCCTGCGCCGGCCCGGACGTGCGCTGGCAGTGAAACGGCCCGCGACCAGACCCGAACCGCCCCCTTTCAACGTGCGCGTCGTTTCTGCTCCATTTCGCAGAGAATGTGAACGCCACCGCCATGGCCGCCCGACGACGCCCTGGCACCTCCATCGCCATCCTGGCCATCGCTCTGGTCATCGTCCTGCTGACCCTAGTCGCCGGTGAGCCAGCAGCGTGAACAAAGACGTTTGATTGACGACCTCGTAGTGGACGAGAACATTCTGAGAGCATCACTGTTGTCTGCACAGGCGGCGCGGCCCAGGACGGCTTCCCCTTCCGGGACTTCCCCAACCCGGTGCCGTACGCGCCGCTCGCCGAGCGCCCCCGCACCTTCCAGCGCGACGTCCAGCATCAGGCCTTCCAGCAGCAGTACTCCAGCTTCCAGTCGTCGCCGTTCCAGCAGCACTCGCCCTTCCAGAACAAGTTCCAGTCGCCGCTGCGGCAGCCGTTCCAGGTCGACCCGGGCGCCTACCAGCTCGAGCAAAAGCACCCGTACACCAGGAATGCGAGCAGCTTTGCAGCCTTCCAGGCGCGCCCCTTCCAGACGCCGCCGGTAAACAAATGATTAGACAACACTGAACGGCTACCACCGTGTTTGTTCTCTCAATAAGGAGGTGCTGATTGCCTGTGTTCTCTTCAGCCGCAGGCGGTGCAGCGCCCTGAGGACGCTCCGGGAGCCTTCTTCCCGGACCCGCATTTCGAGCACCTCTTCCAGCGCGAGCTAAACCACCAGATCCAGCTAGAGCACCAACGCCTCCAGGAGCAGCAGCAACAACAGCAGCAGCAACAGCATCAACAGCAGCAGCAGCAACATCAAAATGTGCCGTCCTACCAGATACAGCAGTCGGTGCAGGTGGAGCGGCCACAGCTCCAGGAGCTCCAGGAGCTGCACAGCCTCCTGGAGCAGCAGCTGGAGATGCACGAGGTTCGGCACAACGAGCGGCTGAGGCCCCAGCTGGCCCCGGTGACGCAGGGCGCGCCGCCGCACAGCTTACTGGAGCAGCAACAGCAGCGCCAACAACAGGAGATGCTGCAGGAGATGATCCGACAGCACCAGCAGCAGCAGCACAACCTCGTGGACTCGCACGAGCTCTTCATGTCGCAGAAAATTAAGCCGCAGACACCGCCGCCGCCTCCGCCGAGACGCCCGTCACCACCACAACCGCCGCCGCCGAAGCAGAGGCAAACGAAAAAGCCCTCGACGACCACCACCACGACAACGACCACGCCGAGAGAGCCTCTGGAGGTCATCGACCTGAGCCAGTTCCTCCCCTTCCTCGGGCAGCAACAGCAGGACCAGCTCCGGCAACAAATCAACTTGGCGCAACAGGTGCAACTGCAGCAGCAGAAGCAGCAAACTCAGCCGGGGAAGGGCAAGCCTCAGCCGCAGGAGAGCGTGCGGGAGCAGCAGAGGCTGCGGCAGCAGCAGCGCCAGCAGGAGACCCTGCGCCAGCAGGAGGAGCGGCGCCTGCAAGAGGAGCGGCAGAGGGAGCGGCAGCGTCAGCTGCGGCAGCAGGCCCAGCAGCAGCAGCAGCGCCAGCAGGTGAGTTGGACAACCTGCCAAACACTCTTAATTGGCTTGTCAGCAGCACGAGAACTGTTTTCATCCTTCAAATTTTTTAGACAGTCCCTCGTGGTCTGTCTCTACCCGAAGGTAAAAGTTTCCAGTTTTTTTTCTCGTTTTGAATAGGAGCAAGAGAAGCGACAGAACAAGGCCCAGCAGCAGCAGCCAACCGGTGGGGCCGGGCGTCAGCAGAGGCAACAGCCCGTCAACAACAAGATCAACAACAACAATACCGGCAACCGGACGACGGCCGAGAAGCCCGTCACCTCGGTGCGGGACCTGTTCAACACCAGCTCCTGCATCGAGCCGCCGCTCACCTGCCCGCACCCCCGCATCCACTTCTACCTCTACACCAGGTCAGCCCAGCGCACCAAACGCGTCCTCGTCCTCGCGGAGTTTTAGCACCGCCGGGACAGGCGTGTAAATGTCAGAAATGTGCCTTGTAGGCAGTCCCATCATGTTAGCCGCGCCTCGGGTGACTTATGCGGCGAGGCAGGGGTACAGAGATCAACTGTTAGCAATGCCGGGACTTTCTATCTGAGCATAGAGTTTAAATTGAAACCGATAATTCAGAAAAAATTTGGCTGGAGGCGCCTGGTGATTAGGCAGCAAACGGCCACACCGTTTGCGCCGGTGGCCTATCCTCGGACCGTCAGGCGTTCTGGCAGCGGGTGCAAGAGGTCTAAGAGCTCTCTGACACCTGGCAGCGGGTCTAAGAAATCTCTGGCAGCGGGTCCAAGAGCTCTCTGGCAGCGGGTCCAAGAGCTCTCTGGCAGCGGTTCCAAGAGCTCTCTGGCACCGGGTCCAAGAGCTCTCTGGCAGCCGCGGCCGATAATCGCCATGCAAATGAGCCGGGGATGGCGACATCACGAAGGGCGGGGCCCGGGTGACGGCGGGGCGGGGCCGAGCGGTTGGATGTCTCTCTCTGGTGGAACGGCGGCGACCTCCGCCGGGTCACAATACACCCGCTGCTTTCTAACCGTCGGATTAAAAGTACGAGTGAAAGAGATGAGGGGGGCGGGGAGGGGGGTTATCGACAAAAGAAACCGACGACGCGGGTCTCACTCAGACCTCCACGAAGCGCACAGCCGCTTCTAGGCGGCTGGGGTACAACACGCTTCCGGTGTGACGGTGTGGTGGTGGTCGGCAACTCTTTCTTGACCTGACCCGACGCGCGCCACACACAAGTTTTCTGACTCTTCCTCCGGTGCCTTTTTGGAGGATGATTACTCTTGCCGTGGATGGGTCTCTCTCCTCCTGCCTCCCGCACCAGACGCCGACATCCACCCGCTCATCCGGAGGCAGACGCGGGGTGGTCCGGGCTTATGCAACAACTCCGCGGCCCAACGGCGCCGCGACGCGTTGCCCGCCCGACGCAAACAAAATAGTGCAGCACTTTCGCCCGGTGCACCCCGTTTTGGGCGTGTTCTCCCGCACGCCGGCCCGCCATAAAGCCTTGTACGGCGGCCCGGTGAGGGAAGGGAAGGGCCCTGCGGAAACGTCACCACCTCCCACCCCCATTTTCTCTTCCTCGAACTTATTGGTCTAACACCCTGCCCTCCTCTCCTCCACAGGACGACGCAGGCCGAGGGCCAGAAGGTTGACGTGACCAAACCCGAGTCGCTCATCAACACGCAGTTCAACCCCAAGCACCCCATCAAGCTGCTGATCCACGGCTTCCAGGGGGGCAGGCAGTTCTCGCCGTCCATCGACCTCCGAAAGGGTAAGAGAAGCGCTCATCGCGATCCCTTTGGAGAGAGAGAGAGAGAGAGAGAGAGAGAGAGAGAGAGAGAGAGAGAGAGAGAAGGTCGGCCGGGCCGAGTCACCCGACGGCTCTTAAAAGGTTGCTCGCCTCCTGCTTGCGCGCATTGCGTCACAATAATTGCATCCGCATGGAAAATTCGAGACGGAGGTGTCCAGCTGGAGTCCAGAGGGGCTGCGGCCCGGGCCGGCGCGCGGCGGGCTGCGGGCCACCTTGACCCACTGGCGGCCACGAGGGTTCGCCCCCCCCCCCACCTCCCTACCAGGCGCGATGCACCGCCGCTGCCAGGGATACCCCGTTCGCTCAGCGGATGGCAGTTCCCCACGTGGCGAAAAAGTCATGTTTTTCACGTTGAACCGTGTTGTAAGCATAGCATAGCATAGCAGGGCAACACCCGGACGTATTGCTGTGGAGTGCACTTTGGCACACATTACAGTCGTACTCAATTTGGAAGACTATGGATCTTTGAGGTGGCTAACACGTGTCCTTAAATCCTGACCGCAGCGTACTTCATCCGCGGCGACTACAACATCTTCGTGGTGGACTACAACTCGCTGGTGCGGCTGCCCTGCCTCTCCCAGATCCAGTGGTCGCCGTCGTTCCTGGCGCTGTGCGTGTCGCAGCTGCTCACCTACGTGGACAACACGACGGCGAGCGTGACCGGGTCGCGCGTGCCGCCGGACCGCTTCCACCTCATCGGCTACTCCATCGGCGCGCACATCGCCGGCCTCGTGGCCAACTACATCGACCGCGACCAGGGCAAGCTGGGCCGCATCACCGGGCTCGACCCCACCATCATCTTTTACCAGGGCGCCAACCGGTCGCAGGACCTGGACCCGTCGGACGCGCACTTCATCGACGTGATCCACACTGGCGCGGGTATTCTGGGGCAGCGCGGACCCAACGGCCACGTCGACTACTACGTGAACGGGGGCACGACGCAACCAGGCTGCCAGAGCGACTCGCTGATTAGTGAGTAAATAGGGACAAAATTGGAAAACCTCTAAAAATGTCGTTAGGGGTCGTTCAAATACTACGTGCCTTCTTTTTTTTTGGGGGGGGGGGAGAAGTTGCCCGATAAGAAGAACAAGAAGATAACACTAACACTGAGGAGGTGGCGTGGCGTAGCGCCGTCCCTTAACAAGGCAGAAGATGAGCCACAGTCTAGCAGAGGTTAGGATGCGTGTCGCCCGATTTCAAACGACTTAGAACGGGCCTATGCATCTAGCACCTTGGTACCACCTATACCAAAGTTTATTACGATAGTTGAGTAATTATCATTGAGTTAAAATAGAACCAATGCAATATGTCCATACACTAACCTAAACAACGACACCGGGACGGTTAAGAGGATTGTACAAACTTACTTTTCCGAAGCCAGCCTTTGCAGAAGCACTTTTTGACACAAGATTCCTACGCCGGTCTAGTATGCACCCAATTTTTCTTTACGAATTCAACAAAACTTGATTCATGAACACACATTCACTCGCGACTCGCCTCGAAACACAGTATGGTCCAGTGTGGCCAGATCCGTGGGGACCGGACTCGCCGCCAGGTGGCGCAAAAGTCGCAAAAGTCGCAGAAATTCAAAATAATGCCCGTTCGCGCTTCAAAACAAACGACTGTCAGCTCACTTTGCTGCCAACTAATGAAAGAAAACGAAATCTGGAGAGCTGAAAAAGGCATTTTCCCGGTGTTTTCAGTCATTTTTCGAGAAAAATCCGACTTTTCTGTGAAATCGCCTAGTTTGCGACTTATCGCCGTTCCTAAAATTGGTGTCGCGGACCACCTCTCAAAATCGCCTAATTCGCGACAAATCGCGGCATCTGGCAGCACTGGTATGGTCGCCGGCGTTGCGTTCTGCTATGTTTAGGGACGAAGCTACGCCACGCCACGCCACCTCCCAGCCTTCTTCTTGTTCCTCTTACCGGGCAACTTCCTGAAAGGGACAATATTCGAAAATCTCTAAAACTGACGTTAGGGGTCATTTAAATACTACGTTCCCTCTCTCTTTTTTTTAGGGGGGGGGGGGTATAAGTATTATGAGGCCTCAAAATGAAATGGAGTCCATATAGACCCCACGATATTTGTACCCAGGGGTACTAATTTTATGGGGTCCTACGAGCTTCAAGGATAGCCCTGATCCATTTGGGACCCCATTATATTTCTCCCGCCCCCCTCCCCCCTGGCCGAAAAGAAAGGCACGGCGTATTTGAACTACCCCACGGGACCCGACCGGCGGCGGCGGCCGACCTGAGCGCCGCCTGGGTAGGCAGCCCATTTGACACCTCTCTCTGTATGCGCCGCGCAGAGACGCTGTCGTGTGACCACACCAAGGTGTCGCCGTACTACGTCGAGTCCATCGTGACGCCGGTGGGCTTCTGGGCGCTGCCGTGCCCCAACCTCTTCATGTACCTCCTGGGCTTCTGCCAGCCCAAGGACGAGGACTACATCATCATGGGCGAGGACGCACCCCACACGTGAGTGAACAACCACCACGTGCGATTTTTACTAGCTTCTATTTTTGTCGTTCATATATTTATTAATTTTTTGACATTTCTGCAGTGCGCGGGGCATCTACTACCTGTCCACCAACGGAAACAAGCCTTACGCCAAAGGCTTCCCGGGCAAGAAAATGCCAATCAAGTTTCCGAAATGGCGCCCCAACTGAGGAGAGAGCTGGTCGTTGCTCAAGTTTTCTTAGTGAATTAATCTACCTGTGATCAAAACAGCGATGCCAAAGTCCGCTTTAGGAACGCTATGTTAAGAGGGGAAATGCACCGGCTTTTGGGGGACCCGCCCACGAACAAAAACGAAGGGTCCTTCAACGTCAAACGTCCTAATGATGATGGAGTGCAGCCTTAAAGCGTGTGCGAACCTTATAAGTGAATGTAATTTATTCGTATTCCTGTTAGTAGTTAAATCTAAGAGAAGGTGTTGCATTGATTCCTTGCCAACTGCCATGTTGTGTGTAGTTAGTACCAATATTGGTATATTTAGTTTACGCGCAGTAAATGTATCGCCAGTTTAAAAAAAATAGAGAGAGAGAAAATTGTGTTGCAATGTAGAAGCATCAAAAATCGTTGTTACCCTCAACCAAGGTTCAAACCATGTATGTAATTTTTAAAAAAGAAATAAGGTAGTATTTTCCAGCGAGGTACTTCACCGCTGGGTAAAACGCGTCAGTGATGTCAGACTTTGTGAGTACTAGGGTACAATAATATAAATAGTTCTTTAACCATAGAAAATGTTCATTTATTTCTATAGCAAAATAAGGTGCAGTGAAGAATGAAACAGGTGTCAAGGTATACTTAAATCTTACATGATAAGTGAATGCAGTTTGCCTTCTATCACAATTGTATCACTTGAAACATATACGCCAACTGATATTACTTAGTGAAAGTTCAATGAATATGACAATAAGTTAGATACTTAAACTAAGCATACTATTAAATAAAAGAAATTCGCGGAAAGCGAATGACAGTCTCTGCGATGCTTTTCCCGACGAAGGCAAGATGCTCGTCGTCCATCAGCTCTCTATTCTTTTTGATTCTTTGGATCATAAACAAATTATTGACTATTTCCTTAGTTTCAGTCGAAGGACTGTTGTCGTCCCCGCACCAAGCGGGGAGGCGCACAATGACGATGCCAGACTGGCGGCGCTAAGTCCTTTTTAAACAAAATAACTCACAAATTAGCAGCGGTGTTGGCTTAGTCGTGCTTGGCGAGCTCCTTGTCCTCCTGGGTGAGGTCCTTGTCGTCCCAGCCCCAGACGGGGTGGGTGCCGTCGCCGGTGCGCAGGGTGCGGGTCTTGATCATGTCCTGGTTGACGTACTTGAGGTCGTAGGCCTGGCCGATGCGAGCCATGAAGTCGATGAAGGCGGTGGTCAGGTTGGTGGAGTACACGCCCAGCTCGGCGGTCTTGTAGTCCCAGGGGAAGACGTGGTGGTAGTTGTGGTAGCCCTCGCCCAGGGCGCCCAGGGACACGATGAGGTTCTCACGGGCGGCGATGGACTTGTCGTAGGGGCGGTCGCCGACGTAGTGGGCCAGGGAGTTGACGAGCCAGGTGCCGTGGAGGGAGAGGGTGTAGCGCAGCATGGCGGCCACGAAGTAGGCGTTCCACAGGGACTCGCCCCACAGGGTGGGCACGACGGTGGGCATGAGGAAGCAGAAGGTGAAGACCAGGGGGCCGTAGTACCTGAGGCGCAGAAGGAACATGGTAATGAGTAACGGCGCATGGGAAAGCATAACAGAATTTTTCGGCGACAGTTCGACCCGAAACTTACTTCTTCTGGAAGGCCACGCAGGGGTCAGCTTCAATGTCGCTCAGGTCCACAGTCTTGCCGATGCGGGTGACGTCGGGGTGCTTCTTGCACAGCAGCCAGCCGACGTGGGCGAAGAAGAAGCCGCGGTCGGCGTTGACGGGGTCGGCGTCGGTCTCGGTGAACTTGTGGTGGACGCGGTGGTCGCGGGTCCACTCCCAGATGGAGTTTTGGAAGGCGATGGTGTTGAAGAAGGTGAGGAGCATCCTCAGGGGCAGCCTGGCCTTGTAGGCCTTGTGGGACCACAGGCGGTGCACGCCGGCGGACACGCCCAGGGTGCCGATCACGTACAGGAACACGGCTGCGATCAAGACAAGAGGGGAATGGTCAGCGCCCCCGCCGGTAGTTGGCAACACAAGCGTCACTCGGCCGCGTTATTCGTTACGCCCCCCGCTGAATATTTTTATGTAACACAATTGTCGCCAGTATCAGTATCGACCGACGTAATGACGTTTATTATGTCATTCAAGAACCAACAACTCTGATTTCAATAAATTGTCAGCTGAAGGCCGCGTGCGCGATCGACGTCGCCTGTCGACAACTCACCCCAGGCGGTGGTCAGCAGCTTGGCGTCAGTGAAGACGAGCTTGAGTCCGTACAGGGCCATGACGTGCATGACGACGAACCAGTACACGTTGGACCAGTAGATGGGCTGCAGCTCGCGTTCGCCCTTCTTCTTGTCCGCCTTGGCCTGCTTGGCCTGCTTGATCTGCTTCTCCTTGGTGATCACCTCCACGTAGTCGGGGGTGTCCTCGGTGTCGAAGAGGACACCGGTGCGGTAGTTGCTGACATCGACGTTGGGGGCCATCTGTAACGGGAGAATGAG